AGGTTTCACATGAAAAAACAATGTGGTTACTACATTTACCCATATTATCAAGTCCCCACCCATACCCCAATGCAATCACTGTCCATCAGTGTAGTAAGATGGCACAGATCCACTGTGTGCCTTCTCTGTGCTACACTGTTCTTCCCATGATCCCCCACACCATGTGTACTAAACATAATACCCCTCAATCCCCTTCTCCCTCCCTCCCCACCCGCCCTCCCACACCCCTCCCCTTTGGTAACCACTAATTCATTCTTGGAGTCTCTGAGTTTGCTGCTATTTTAACAAGTAAATCTTAACAATTAAGATGTACAGTTGTTTTATCTTTGCTTTTATGCCATTTGATATTAAATTGATAAACTGGAATATCTGAGATCTGCTAATTGTTCCAGATTAATGATACAGGAAACCGTATCAACTCCAAGAGGGGGAGGGGCATGTAATGCCAAGTAGTAAAATGCAGTTGCTTGTGTTTTATTTCTATTATGCAAATTGGGGAGATGTATAATATATATTTGCACAATTATCCACTAATGCTTTAAAACTTGTTATCCACCAAAACACAAACAATTGAGTACTATCACACTCATGCATTACAAAGAGACCACCAAGATGTCACTGTTGTACAGTGTAATCTGAGCCACTGGGTCTAAATCATCTAGTCTGCACTGGGCAAACTGGGCCACTTGATGTCACCCATCATTCACAGCCTGGCAGATCACATGTCCCTAAAAATGGAACTCTAGAGCAAACGTTGTCAATGATTAAAATGGTATGAGTTTTTTAGTGGATGATAAATGTATAAAAAAACTTCAGAACAATTCTTTTGCAATTCAGACTTCTGTAAATGATCTGCTATATTTTTGATCATTCTGTAATTTCTGAAATGCCATGACCTTGTTCAAGAGTGCACATCCCAATTACACTACTCTTCTTATATCAAAGTAGGATATACTTTTTGTGATTTCCAGAAATGTACTAAAAATTAAAGGCAAAGTCTGCCTATACTTGTTTCTTTAATTAGATAAGTTTATCTATCTTAAAACTTATATGTACCAAGTAAGTTTCACATTTTGGATCAACCCCATTAGTATAGGATCAAGCTGCCAAAAATAAAGCAAACTTCCCTAAATTCTAGCTGAACAAAAACTGACATCCTATATCATAATCACTAAAAACAATGAAGTGCTCAGTAATGTGTCACAGTTACTAGACAGTTGACATGTAACAATACCCGTCCTCTCCTCAGATCTTCACTTGGGGGAAAGAAAAAAACCTGAAATGTGGTAAAAATGAAACAGGAAAAGGAAAAGAAACTTAATAAAACATGTTTTCCAAAATTAATGATCATACTTTAACAGAATGTTTTTCCCTACAGGTGAAATATAAGAAATCTTAATATTTACATAGAAGAAATACTAGAGAATACAATATAATCTTTGAGGTTAAAAAGGGCTGCATACCCACTGAAGATGGTTTCTAGCAAAAGGGTCTCATTTTTTATAAAGAAAATATATAGTTAAATGTTTCAATACATTATGGGTACTTGTTCTTTCAAGGAATTTGAGGTGGCTGTTTTTATACATTTCTGTAAAGCAAAAATAACCTCTTTAATTTTACTATTTTTGAAAATTGTTCATATTTAGGCTTATTATAATTTATCCTTACTCTACTGAAACTGAGAAAAAACTGTCACCTTAGGTCAGGCTTATTATTCAGCAAATGTTGTCCCTGACAGCACTGGCAAAGGAATTTGCAGGACAGAATAGCCATAATTCCTTGATATCCATCTCCTAAAAAGTTAAATATTCAAAAACATACTTGCATCTTTAAATAGCTCATTAAAGAGTTCTAAATTCACCTGGACTATTTAAGAAGCTATTTTGTCTTTAATCTTTTACCAACCTTGACTTTGCTTACATAGTACTTCCTTTATTATCCTAAATTTGCTTCCTTAAACATTTGGCCTAGTTCTAGCCTTCATGTCCTCACTCATGTTTGAGTTCAACCACAAGGGTTTTTTTGTTTTGAGTACCATGAGACCCATGTAAGGTCTTAAAGGAGGAAGGCCATGTAAAGGAATGAAGAAACTGCCTGTACTTTTGTTGAGATACTCAGATCTTTTAAGATTGCTTATATTTCAATATAAGATTAAAATGATAAGAACAGAGATAAGATTGATAATTATTCTATTCCTGACCTTCATAATTCATTCAGAGGACATCTGTTGGGTCCATAATATCTATGTGCCAGGCACTATGTTAAATGCTGAGGATACACAAAAAAGTCTCTGCTTTCAAGATTTCAGTCTACTAAGGATATGACCATAAATGTAAATTCCTATACAGACCAATGCTGAAATCTTTTAGCCTGGAGAGAAAAGTTTTGATGTATTTACTCAAATAAATGACTATATTTAAAAAATGACTTTACTCTGGTAAAATACAATTATTCTGATAAGAACTTACTTGGGAGGAGATGGCACAATAGTTGGCATGATATTAAGTCCAATAATAAACTTCTGAATGGAAATTCTCAAGCTTTTCCTTACTAGCTTCAGTATTTACAAAATTGAATCAGATGTAATTTACTTGAAACAGCTGAACAACCAAAGGCAACAAAATATCTAAAGGCAATTTGTCAAAATCTAGTTTTAATAAATCTAGGCAACACTGGCTCTGTCACACCTTACGTCAGAACATCAAGAAAATTACTTGAAAATGGTAAATTGTAGAATCCTATCTGCCAGGTTCTGGAAACCATAACAGTAACTAAAATAACTAGGCTTTAATACATGAGACCCCTTACAATACCATAACTGTTTCTGAAAAGCACGTCATCTCTAACTACTGGCTTATTTATTTATACCCTGAATTTTTCCACAAAGGATTTGAAGCAGCTACCCTAATATAATGCAAAGCACATGAATTATTTCCACCTGGCTTTGAATTACGGCTTTGCCATTTACTATACAAATTCTCTGCCCTTAACTTCTGAGGTTCAGTTTCTTAATCTGTAATGATGGAGACCATAATCCTACTCTGTTGGGTCACAGGAAGGATAAAATGAAATAGCATGTAGCACAGTATCTGGCATATCGTAAGGGCTAAATAAATGTCAGTGTTGTGCCTTCCTTATCCAATTACATGCTATATAGAAAAAGGATAAGGTGGAATTTTAAGTGACTTTTTTTTTTACACATTGATACGTGCCAAGCAGAAATGTGTACTGATCATGAGTTGCAAATGTTAACGTTTCTGTCTAAAAACTAGGCTCAAAGCAAATTCAATTTTTTTAACGTCAGCACTTTGAGAACATATTGTATTAACCTTTTAGCTATACTACTTAACGCAAAAAGTTCGGAAGGACAAAAATTGAAAAGAGCCCCTTGGCATACTATTTTTCACATTATCCATTCAAAGGGTAATGAAACATTCTAAATTTGATTTACTCTAAAAGATTTATGGTATTAGACTGGCTAACATCACTTTAAATCTAACTCTGCCAGTCTAAAAAACACGATTTTCTTTCTAAAAAAATTTTTAGGTAACATATATCAATGTCTTTAATATTGAAAAGCAGCAAGTCGCAAAATACAAAGCACCAACGTAAGTACTATTATAACTCTGCTTGCGTTAAGGAGAGCAAGTAAACATTTTACACGGTAGTAGAGGTGCCTGGGAAAAAACTGAAAGGCGATTTGAACCGATCCTCCTCCCCGTCCATTATACCCGAGAATGCAAGTGTCCCGCATCTCAGATCAAACTGAGCCTCGGTCTTACTGACGTAACCAGTAACCCTATCCACCTCTCACACTGCGGAGGCCGGCAGGGCAGCGCCTGCCGCCAAGTACACCACTCATCAGAGCCTGCCCCATTCCACCCCCGCATTTCAGTCATGCTTTCCAGAAATGGGGTCACTCACTATTACACACACGCAGCCTATCATCTTGTAATCCCCTCAAGTCCGCTGCGGGTATAGGAGACACAAAAAGTCAAGAAGGAAGAACCACAGACGCGCCACCATCAGGAATTGATTTTCCATTCCAGAAAGGAGCGCTGATGTCCTGGAACGGGTCTTGTCTGTATTATTTTCGCAGACCCCGAGTTGGTTCTGGGACAAGGGAGGCTGAGAAAAGCTTGGTGCTGGGGTGTATCAGGGGGAAATTCTGTCTTGCTCTGCTTCAGTATATTGCTTGGGGTTTCGGTACTCGGGTGGGTGTTTCAGGACAGTCACCAGATCCCAGGAGAAGAAAACCAGAAAGCCCTTTACAGCGGCCGCTGATCTCCTTGAATATCACTCTCACCTCCACGGACAGGAAACTCAAGTTAAACTCTCAGGGACGGGTTTTTGGAGCTCAGCGACCTCAGAAACAGGGCGGGGGGGGGGGTTGGCGGGTGAGGGGAGGACCGCAGGCTTCCACTTTCTCCTTTGCAGCAGCAATCTCTGCGGCAAATAGGGGGAGGCAAAACCCCTTGCCTGTCCTGTACCCCTTCCCCAAAACCCCCACAGGTCGCCACTCCTGCCCTGGGCCGTTCCAGCCCCCACACGCCCTTGTCCCTGCAGTAACTCCCTCCGCGGCCGGATTCGAGAGTCCCTGCTCCCCAGCGAACCTAATCCATTCTCCTCCCTCATCCCCTAAAGTCACCAGGGTCCAGGGAAGACCCCAACTAGGCAGGGCCAAACTTCCCAACTCCTCGCCGGGCCCCCGCTCCGCCTCCCGCCTCCCCACGCAAAGTTGATTAAAATCGGTTCCTTGCAAAGCCCCAGCGCCCACTGCAAACCCCACTCGCCACCACACCACAGCCCCCCCGGGCAAGGAAAGGGAGTGAGGGTGCGGGTGGGTGGAACAGAAGGGCAGGCAGACCAACCCCAGCTACCCAAACCGGAATCCCGGAGCGAGGAGAGACGCGAGCCGCAGAGGAAGGGGCGAGTGGCCAGCTCCAGGGAGGGGAGCGAGCCGGCGGGGGCGCGCCGGCGCCGGCGCCGGCTGCACTCACCTCAGCGTTGTCGGACGGGCTCTCCACAGCCATCTTCTGCCACGGGTCCGCCAGCTGCGCTAGCGGCATCTTCCCCCCCGGCCCGCCGCCTTCACCGCCTCCTCCCTCCCCGCCCGCCCCGCGGCCGGCCCCGCTCCGTCTCCACCCGAGCCCCACGGCAGCAGCGGCGGCTGCCCGGGAGAGGGCTCGGCGCCGACACCGACCCTCGAACACTGCGCGCCCGGCGGGAGACGCCTGCGCGTCGAGCGAGTGTCTCGCGCCGCTGCCGGGCACCGGGTCTCGCCTCTTTCTTCCTCTCCTCCTTCCGCCGCCGGGACTACGGCTCCGCCCCCCCCCCCGCGGCCCGGGCCCCCCACCGCCCCCCCCCCGGCCTCCCCCCCCCCCCCCCCCGCGGCCGGTTCCCGCGCCCGCTCCCAGCAGAACAGCGGCCGTCGCGCGCTCCCCCACTTCCGCTCACAACATGGCGCCTAAGCGATACCTGTCTCTCAGCGAGGCTGGGCCGCCGCCGCCACCGCCGCGCGCACCCGGGGGCGGGGCTTGGGAAGACACGCCCCGGTCGCCGCGCTCCGCTCCTCCCTCCTTCCTCACCCAGCCTCAGCTTCTGGGCCTTGCGTACTTTCAGGAAGGGCGAGCCCAAAAGATCTGGGGGCGTCGGCAGGAGGGGGGAGGGGAAAGAAGCGGGGAAAGTAGGAGGGGCGAAAGTCTGGGAACCTTTGCTACAATGCGAGCACATCGGAGGCTCCTTGAGGATATAAAGAACAGAGGTCCCTACCCAGCTGAAGAGGGAGATGGACGAGGCGCAGTCCTGTGCCAAGAACTAGGGGAGGGGTCTAGGGTCTTTTTGGCCTGACTCCTCGGTGGGTGCGTGTGGTCGCATCGAGTATATGGACACATCCTTCCCCCGGGTCCCACGCTGGGCATCCACCTGCCCGCCCCCACACCCCCCATGGTGGGGACACGGAATGCTTCCTGCCTGGGAGCCTTCTGGGGATTTCCCATCGGTTTCATTCAAGGTTCTCCAAATTGATGCTATTGTGTTACATAGCCAAAATTTGGAATTCATTCGTCTTGTATGAGTCGCCCCCCTCCCCGACCCCAAGTCCTCAGAGCTCTCGGGCGTCAGTCTCGACCCTCAAAGACCTGCACCCTCTTTCTACCTAAATCTTCACGGAGGAGAAAACAAGGAGGTTCCTTAAGCCTGCCCTTCTAGGCAGACGTTGGGGAATTATTTAGAATCATCTTGTTGGCAGGAGCCCAGGGTTCCTGCTCCTCTGTTGACTAATAAAAAATTAGATTAAAAAATTAGCCTGCCTGAGGGTGGAGGAGGTGAAAAGAGGAGGGGTGCTCACTCCTCCTTCCTAAGATAGGGAAACCCTGGGTTAAGGAAACCCAGTCCCCAGACGGCGACAGAGGCCAAGAAGACGGGGAGAGTTTGTGAGGAGAGGCCTGGGCGTCTGGAGTGGGTCTCCAGGGGTGAGTGTTCGACCCCGTGTTCCCCTCGCCAGGTGCCACGGTGAGCTCAGTGCGCCCTGCCAGAATTGTCCCAAAGTCGCCAGGTTGCGTGGAAAGCTACTGTAGCCACTGGCTAAGTCCCCTGCAAAGAGAAGGAAAAAGTAAAGGGATATCTCCAGGCCTGCCAGCGCCTTCATCCCCTCAGGCCACAGCGGAGGCGGCCGGGCGACCACAATGCGTCCCCCGCTGCGCTCTCAGGGCATGCCTTGTAACACTTCCCTTTCATCATCCCGAGACCAAGACACTTGGAGAGCCCTCGCCTTCCTCCCTAACGCAGGTGCGAGGATGAGGTCAGACCCCTACACCTAGCCGGCCGGGTTTGCTTTGGTGCTGCAAGCTTTCTCGAAGAGTCCGGGAGAGGCAGGTGCTGGGCTTTTTCTGCTGCCTTCGCTGTGCGCTCCTCGACACAAGCTCGAGGCCCGGGAGCCTAGTGGACACCTGAAGAGGCTCCATCTGTTTAGGGAGCCCAAGCAGGCGGCCGGAAATCCTCCCTGCATGCCCTCTCCCGCAGCCTTAGACTCTGGGGGACCGCTCAGAGTTGAGCAACATCTGGGGAGGCTCAGCGTGGTCTGTGGGGTGGGGGGTGGGAAAGACTTAGCTCGTAATTTTGTCACCTCCCTCAACATGCTTGATTCAAGTGCTGAAAATCCAATATGAACCCGAATTCAGCTACTTTGGCAGCACCGTCCCTGTAATTCCTGATGGTAAAACCAGTTTGCAGGAAGTTCGAAGATAAGGAGTTGTGTATATTGTTTTGCATTTATGTTCAAAGTGCCTAATTTATCTTTCATTTACATTGCAAAGCTATTTTACAATTCCTTATAAAGAAATTTAGTTAGCTTAAGGTAGCCCCCCAGTGATTATTCCAATTAACATTCTTGCTTTAGTAAAAACATACATAGTTGAAAAGAACTATTATGTGTCTAACACTGCCCACAGCTAATTACTCCACTCAAAGGGTAAACCAACCTTTCAAAAATAAATAAAATTGTATATTGAAAAGTTGGTTTCAGTATTAACTTTTATTCATTTCCTTTTACCTTGGGAACTGGAAGAGCAACTTTTAAAACAAAGTTAATCTGTCAAATGTGAACAGTGGTCAAGTTGCAGGAATCAAGCATTAAATGAACTGCTGACGATGGGCTGAAGTACCACTAGCACAACTGTCTTACACTAGGATCAACTTGATAAGTACTTGTGAATTGATTTTAAAAACACTATTCTCCTTCCTTTTGCCCAAAAAGAAAGGAAAACACATTTTTGCTTTCGGTTAACAATAACCTTTTTTCGTTTATTTCTTCTGTTAAATCCAGGAGTGGTGCAACCATGCTCTCTCGCTGGGAAAATCAAATGAGGCTGGGGGATTTTCTTGTAGGTGCCAACGAAAAGGGTTATTTGAACATAGAAGCTGATATCGCCCTGACACCTGGGCGATATTTAACCTCCAGGAGGTTAAATCTGGTTGTCTTGTCATACATCAGGAATGATTTCTTGGAAATCTAGTCCAGATTTTTGAATGAGGTTTGAGCAGGATTTTAATTTTTTTCCTGTTTAAGAAAGGAAAACTCTAAATGTAGTTTTTCAGAGAACAGCTGCCTCTGGAGATCACCCTGTGCAGACTACTTCAGTAGCCACTAGCCGCATGTGGCTACTGAGTGCTTAAAATAAGGTTGGCTGGTTGCAGGTGAGATATTCTGTAAGTGTAATGCTCACAACAGATTTCAAAGACATAGCACACACAAAAAAGAATGCAAAGTAATTTTTATATTGACTATATATTGAAATATTTTGAATATATTGCATTGAATCAAATCTTTTTGTTAAAATTAATTTCACTGGTTTACTTTTTTTTTTTTTACTGTGGCTACTGTGAAATGTATACTTACATATGTGGCTTACGTATCAAGACTGGTATTATAGTTCTGTAGGACACTGCCGCCTTAGCACTTTCCTTTAACATTGAGCCTTTTATGTATTTCTACAAGTCCTATAATATTAAGCGATATCCTCACATTCCACTGTCTTTTGGGGCTCCTTGGTGCAAAATCAGCAGAAAGGGCTGATTCAGTTACCTACTAATTCTATGACCCCCACCCCCACATACATAAATCTCTCAGAACCAAAATATTGGAAAGTTATTACTTGAAACTATGGCAAAGGGACAGCAAACCTCATTCAAAAATCTGGACTAGGTTTCCAAGAAATCATTCCTGATATATGACAAGACAACCAGATTTAACCTCCTCTGCCCCCAACAATTTCCTGCTATAATTATAACCTTTGTATACAAGTTAAATGGGCATTGACTTAACAAAATAAGAAAATTTGGTCAAAAAACTAAGTTCCATCAATCTGGAAAAATTACAAGATGACTAATGGTGGCTTCTGGCACAATCTCTACCTCACATACAGCCAAAATTCACAGCTCTATTACATATAGGTTTGTCACCACTATAGAACACCCATAAAGTGTAATCATCACCACTTCTCTGAAAAGTTTTTCCTTCCATGTTATTTGAAGCATACTTAATTTTCACACACAAAAGGAAAAGTAATCACTAAAGACCAATTATTTCTTCCCACGAGAAAGAAAGATGAAACTTGGGCTCAAATTTTGTCATGTAAGATAATAATTAAATAAAATATATGGTGACATATCTTTCATGTATATGAATTTCATTTTTTCTTTGAAATTTCCCAGATAAAAATTATTAAGAATATTTTCCTGGTTGACATGCATCTTAAGAGACAACGAGAATTTCTACTTCTGTCTGAATATTTTGTTTGACAAAATTCAAATTTTGGAAAAGGTAAGGGTCTTCTCTAGGTTTCCCTCTCCTCCAGATATAAATTTAGCTAATAAAATCTATAAGGAACTAAGGGGAAGACATTCTATGATACAAATAGTTGAAATGTTTACTTTGATCTTCTTCCCAGTGAGGCAGGATGGTGTCATGATAAAGGCAGAGACAGGCTCATGTACAAACTCTAGGTTCCTTTATATCTCTAAACTTCAACTTGAAGGCCTAGAACAAGGTTTGGCACATAGCAGCTGCTCAGTAAATATTTGTAGCACAAACTTTGTTTTCCTTATCTTAAAATAAGGATAATAACACCCACCTCATAGGATTGTTGGGAAGATTAAATGGAAATAATATCTGTAAAACATTAAACACAGTGCCTGCCACATAGGAAGCATTCAGTAAATGGAGATCAGTTTCAGAAAGGGAGTATTCCTGCATACAGAATGTAATTCAAATACTTCATTTCAAAGTTATTTCTTTGCATTTGTTGTATGAACATTTTTATTATGATATAATCTATTTCTTTAGGGCACTGGTGTAACTGCAAAAAATGATACTGTAAGTAATTTCCTGTGGAATTCAAGTAAAAGACCGTGTAGGGTACCTTACTGTTCTGTTTTTCAAGCCACATATGTTGAAATGCAAATGATCACAGGTCAGTTGCCTTGCAGGCTATGATCTAAACTTTGTTTATGTAATGCTCAAAAGAAACTAACAAATGTATGATTCAAAGTTAACATCACCTGACTCATACTATGTAGGGAGGATGGGAGGAGCAGAGAAGTACGATGAGAGGTCTGTGTCAGACATACTTTAATGTTTTCTTTTATTGGTTTCTAAAATGTTTAATCCTTAGAGGTGTCATTTTGTTTTAGAGTTGTTTGAAGGGAAAGAATTATGGGGCTTTGGGACTTAACAAGGAACTGAGAAGCCATTCTTGGAACTTTAATAAGCTACTGTTTTCCTTCAGTTTTCATTTTACTGGAACAGAAAAGGCCCACTAAACGTTCTTGTTTATAAACACTA